GGTTGTGTTGATGTGTGGGTGGGTGGGTAGGTATGGGTTTGTGGGGGGCTGTGGGGTGTACAGAGGGAGTGGGTAACTGGGTGTGTGTGTGGGGGAGGGGGGTGGGGTGTGTGCGCATAGCAGTGAACGGGGCTCCCCCTAAATGTGTGCAGGTGTGTATGGGGAGGTGTGGGTGCATGTGTGGTGGGGTATGTAGCAGTGAGTTGGGCTTCCCCCAGGGGTGCCTGGGTGTGTGCGGGGGTTACGTATGGGGAGGGGTGTGGAGTTTGTTAGGGAGCGTGTGAGTGGGTGCAGTGTTTGTGGCATGTGTGATTGTGTGTGGGAGAAGGTGCGGTTGTGGGCTTTGTTGGGGGAGGGTTTGTGGGTATTGTGGGGTGTACATGGGAGCCCCCATGCACTTCCCTGAGCTGGTGAGCACCCACCCTGCCCTGCAACACTCCAGAGCCTGCATGACCTGTGGCACCTCCCTGCCACCAACAGCATGCAACCCCAGCGCTGCCTCACACCCATTCTGGACTCATCCCAGTGGGAACAAATCAGCTGACACCCGCATGTGCAGCCTTGATGGCAGCCTGTCCCACACATGCTCCACACCAACTGCCTGTGGTGCATCCTGCCACCCCCTCCGCATACACTGGGGCTGTGGTGGCTCCATGGCTGGACTTCCTTTCTATGCAGCCCAGGTAGTGGCACCTCCTTCTGGCGCCACCACTGCTGGTGCTAGCCCCATGGTACTGGTGGGGACCTGCATGCACACACCTGCCCCGGTCTGCCCTGCACCTGCTCTGGACTCACCCGTGTTGAACAGTGGCAGCTGCCAGGCAGGAACTCTTGCTAAGCACAGTGGAAAAGTGGCCCCTCCCCCTCACTGCTGCTGGGCCCTTCCTGCTTCAGGCACCTGGAACCCATCCTGGGGTGCCCTGCATCTCCGCCACCGTCACCACTGCCTCTGGGCTGCCCATCCTGGCAACAGTAGTATTGCAGGGCAGACACCGGGCAGCCTGGTGCAGACTCCAGCTGGCTGCAGCATGAAGAGCTCAGCAGCAGCGAGGGGGAGGGGCCACTTTTCCCCTGTGCTGACTAACAGTTTCTGGCTGGCCACCACATTTGCTGCTGCTGCTCAGCCTGGCACGGCAAGTCCAGAGCAGGTGCAGGGTGGGCTCAGTCAGGGCTGTGCGTGGGGATCCCCACTGGTACCATGGTGCTGGGGCCAGTGGCAGCAGCAGCCGGAAGGAGCCAGCACCACCTGGGCTGCCTAGAAAGGCAGTCCAGCTGTGGAGCCACTCCAGGATGCACCACGTCGGGCAATGCCTGGGCTAGGCGGGATCAAGGGAACCACTGCCAGATCCAGCCTGTGGGCCTTATTTTGCCCACCCCTGAACTAGGGCATTAAAATTCATTTTCTTACAAGCATATACAATAGACATCCTGAAACACACTCACACACTGAAACAATAAGTGAATAAGTGAACGTTTAAATTGAAATTTTAGCACTTATGGGTATTTTAGCACTGTTGTTAGAAAAACTGCATGTTAATGAACAGTGAGTACATTGTATGTGACAGAATAAAGGAAAGAATAAAATTTGTCATCGTGAGCAAAGAGCTTTTACAATTCAGAGTTATTAATTAATTATTCATTCACATTTTGGTGGACACCAAAAATATTTACTCACTGAAAGTTCTAAAACAATGTGCAGTTCTTCCCATCTAAACCAAGGAGTTCATAATAAAAGCTTTCACATGAAAAATTTGTTTCTGTTTAAAGGATATTTCCCAACATTTGTTACAGTCATTTTTTTCTTTATGAACTGCTGAAGGATTAAAAAAATGCCAAATAAAAATGTAATCCACCTAGACTATTGATGGAGGAAAAGAACAAGCAAACACTTTTTGATGGACATGACACTTGGGGATCACTTGGAGAACCCTTTTTGGTGTTGGAGAGAGTTCTTACAAACCAAACCTCATTCCCTATAATAAGCTTATTCTACAATACGTTTGGTACTGATTGGGTGCGTCCAATTGCAATGCCTCATACCATACTATCTGGTGTTCTCTTTGCTGCAAGCGTGCACTGGGGTAGTTCCTATTTCTGTGGATTTTTTTGGCCCCTGGATATCAAGGGGTA